CATAGCACGTCGAGGTAGTCGGTCGTTTGGCATACGTAACACATGTCCCAGCCCTCTCAACCGATAAAGTTTCACTACTTCATCAATTGATTTGCCATCCTTACCTAGTACCCGTTTCCTAACAACTGTGTTATTTACTCGATGGTCCCATGATATACGAGCAATGTTTCGAAGATACCTATGACCAAATACTAGTAACCTACGAATATCCTCTACTCTTACCGGCCATGTTTCACTGCCATAAAGTAGGACGGAACGAACTGCTGCGCAGTAAACACGTCCTTTGGTTGATAGACGGATATCTCGCCTACGCCATAAATGTCGCAAGTTGGTAAAAGCTAGTCGAGCCTTCTGTATCCGTGCTGAGATTTCGTCACACACCAGACCACAAGGGCTGATGAGACTTCCAAGATAAGTGAAGCGATCGACACGCTCAATTACTTCACTCCCTATCATTAATTCGGGTGTCAATGCAACCCAATCCTGAAGCAACATTTTGCATTTCGAGGGGGAGAATCGCATCCCGAACATGCTTGCATTGTTGCTTAGAGTGGTCATAAGACTCTGCATTTTGTCAGCGTCTTCACCAAGTAAAACTATGTCATCAGCATATTCTAAGTCAACAAGTGAACCTCCTGGTAGAAGTTCAACCCCTGTAAAGTCAGATGAGGAGAGTGTTATCTCTAAAAGTACGTCGACGACAAAGTTGAACAAAAATGGAGAGAGTGGACAGCCCTGACGAACACCACTTGAGGTAATCAATTCGGATGACAGTTCGCCATAAGCTCTCACTCGACCAGTTGTGTTCGAGTAGAGAGCCTTTATAAGGTTAATATACTTCTTTGGTACTCCTTTCAGTGACAAACACTGCCATAGAACCTTACGATCGGCAGAGTCGAATGCTACTTTAAGGTCGAGGAATACTACGATTGTGGGGCGTCTGAACGTGTATCTGTGTTCTAGAACCTGACGTAGTGTGAATATGTGGTCTATACAACCACGTCCAGGTCGAAAACCAGCCTGGTTTTCTCTAGTCTGCTCTTCACGAGCTTTAGTTAGGCGTCGAAGTATTGTTGAGGCTAATATTTTAGACACTATATTAGTCAAACTGATTCCTCTGTGATTGTCACAAGAGGACTTTTGTCCTTTCTTATAGACTGACACAATCAGTGATTGAGACCGGTCAGATGGGTTTACGTCCAGTTCCCAAATTCTACCTAAGACCTCAGTTAATCTCACTGCTAATACTGGACCACCATCATTAAAAATCTCAGGAGTAAACCTGTCAGAGCCTGCTGCTCTCCCTCGCCTCAGATTTCCTATGGCTTTTTCAACTTCATAAAAAGTCGGAGGACCTACACTAACTTGCCATTCAGGTTGACTGGAGATCGTGAGAAACCGAAATGTGGCTGAAGGCCAGTTGAACTGATCCCTAAAATGTTCTGCCCATCGATCCAATCTCCTGGATTGAGAATGAATAATATGTCCATCTTTCTCTGAGAGTGTTTCGCTAACAGTCGGTTTCCTAATACCGGTTTCCTTAACAAGTCTGAACAATTGTCTGCTATTACCTATTGCCGCTGCCTTTTCCATCTCTCTTGCTTTCGCTACCCACCACTGTTCACGATCATTGCGTAGACTTCTTGTCAGCTTGCGCTTAAGCTGACTCCGCTCTTCATTATGTTCAGATCCAGATGGAATGAGTTTTCGAGCATCTATCAGTGCGATAGATGCTGCTGAGATCCAGTGTTTCTCCCTAACTTCACGGTTTACCTTACTAGCAGATATCACTGCTGTTTCCACAGCTTTTCGGATATCATTCCATGCCGCCTCGGGGTGGGCATCACATACATGGCTGCCTAACTGTTTTCCTAGTTGTTCCTGAAATATACTCTTAGCTTGACTATCATTAAACAGGACCCTAAGAGGTTTCCTTGTAGCGTCTTTCCTACGTCCAGTAAGACGCAAGCAAACGCGCGCTCGCACTAGAGCATGATCTGTATCTAAGCATGTGCTCCAGAACGAGCAACAGTCTTCTATCGAGCCCCTCCATCGGTGGCTGATAGCGATGTGATCTATTTGGGTCCAACGTTGGGACGAATTAGGGGGTCGCCATGTCCAAAAATATTTTTCCTTATGCTTAAAGTTAGTATTTGCAAGGAACAGGCGGTTATCTGAACATGGCTGCAACAGACGGTCGCCATTATCTGTTCTTTGAGCCACGATGCTATAAGATCCACCCAGGTGTCTTTCCCTATCGCTTAGTTTACCTAATTGAGCATTAAAGTCACCGGCCATTATTACTACATCCGAGCGCCTAGCTTTTCGGAGGTCGGAGAGCTTTCTGTAAAACTCATATTTTACATCATCTGTGCTGCAGTCAGTGGGAGAATAGGCAGAGACGATGGAGAGGCAACGACGAGTGTCCCTATCTTTTCGGATCCTTACTGTTCCGTTTAGTCGGACAGCGCACAAACGACTGTCTACTGGGATTCACTCTAAGAGAGCTAGTTCTGCCCTAGAACTCAATGCTATACCTACGCCGGCGAGGCCACGGGAAGCAGAGTCAGGGCTTCCAGATACACGAAGTGTGGATCGAGTCGGTCCTTTATCTTGGCATGGTGAGGTCAAGTGAATGACGCTACTCGGATCCTGTATGCGCGTTTCGGTGACGCAGCACACATCGATGGCGCGGGATTCTGAAGTCTTAGCTAAGGAAGCCTGCTGTCCTATTTGGCACAGTGTTCGGACGTTAAAAGCTGCTACGTGTAGTTTAGGGCGTGGTTTCAGGAGACCAGGAATAACGTTCCGCGTACACAAATCGTTTGCCCTAGCGGTGCGAGGTGATAAAGAGACGTGAGGAGGGTTAGTTATGGGGATAAGAGAGGTATTAGGAGGTGTAGGAAGGATTTGAATGTGACCAACTTGGTCTCGTGTGCTGTTACGGGTATGAGAGCTGGTATCACTTCCCGGCTGCCCACACCGTGGAAGAGTATTTCTTGAGGAACCTGAAAAGGAAATTGGATTAGTGTTGGTCTTAAAGACCTGGGAGCGTGACCGCAGAGCCCAAGGGACAACTGCTTGAGGCCGGTCGCGCACGGTCTTTTTGTGGAAGGTTTTTAATGTGTTAGCTCCGTTCTTCAAACTGCCTTACCGCTGGAGACGGAAATCCGTGAGGTAAGGTGAGGCGTGACATTTTTAGGGTCGACCTTTTCTAACCCCATCCCTCCTTGTGGAAGGCAGCATCGCTGCAGATGTTGGTTGTCCGAGGGAAACACCTTACTGCTGTCACATGCCTCTACAGTCAGCAGTACGACTTCGCCCTCAGACCTTGAGTTGCCGCTTTTAGTCTTACCGTTCACCAATCGACCTGCCTGGCATGGTAGAACCCACAGGAACATATGTTCCAGCCAATATAGCTCGGCTGGGTCATCACGATAGGCAAGCCCGACCACCGCGTCAAGGTAGCAGCTTCGGTCGGGCGTGCTACTTATATCGATATAAGTAGTATATTATGCGAGTCAGGAATATCTTGTTCGCTACACGACTACTGTGTTGTGAACTACTTATATTCACATAAGTAGCATATAACAATAGTCAGGAATGGTATGTATTTCGGTAGGAAAGAACGGAAATGGAAAGCAATTGATATGAAAATTCAATATAAATGAAATCTGAGATGATTGATTGACACTCTGCAAAAGGAACAGTCAAGTTTTAGACCATTGATTAATATTATGCAAATTAAATATTTACTGTATAGTTCTAGGATTTTAGTAAAATGTTTTGTAATTCCATATTTAATTGTGTTCGATTGTTCTAACTCGTGTTCTTGTTCATTACACTGCTACTATTAATATTATTATTAGTTCAATAGTTGAGATTATGAGTCAATTGAAGTTAGACCACCATCGAGAACCTGAAAGCACTGGACGGCCGTTTCGTCCTACTATGGGACTGATCAGTAGTGTGCGTACAAGATCCCGTCTCGCAAGATTCGAACCGACGACCTATCGGTCTCGTGTGGGGTGGGCTTGTAGATTCTCACTGCTGAGAAGTCCCACAGTAAGACGAAATGGCCATCCAGGTTTTCCATGATAGTCTATCTTTTCAGTCCAGGTTTTCAATGGTTCAACATCAATCGGTTCATGATCTCTACCAAAAAATCAGCTTCAAACTATGAATACATTCATTAAATTACCTTCTCCTTTCAGATCACTAATTTTCATTCTTTTAAATAGGAATTATCATTTCATCTAATAATTTTTATTGATGAATGAATGACATGTGATTTCACCACTTTTTCATTGTTTACAAGTGGTAGAGTTGAATTTATACTTCGAATCCACTTGTAAAATATTCACATTTTAGTGAATAACTTTAAAATAGTTACACATGACTTATATTTTTTGAAAAACAATGAACTTATTAAATTCACTTGACATTGTTTATTTGAATGTTTCCATCATTGTTCAGGACTGAAATTGGCATATGTCCATCCTATGCAGATTGCCTTTATATTGCTTTAAGCCACAAGTTTTATAGGAAAAGATGGATAATGGCTAGCAGCGGAGTCCAGGATGCATGTTTCGTCCTATTTCGGACTGGCCAGCTGGATTTATTTGCATCGCAGTGTTGATAGCCACTCCAGAACTCGAACCCACTACTGTTCGTTTCCAATACCCTATTATTTAAAAACTAAGAAATCTCGGTCGAACTTACACTGATTAAAACTGTGAATCTAACATACGTTAAGACTGGATAACTTTATTCATTGTTTTAATGATGTTAATAATGAATAAGTGAACTAACATATCAACAATGATCATCTAAAACCTTATATATATTAGAGTCTACAATGTTTTAGGCTGACACTGAACGCTTTATCTTTAAATAGATGGATTGGAATCTAACAACCTACATACGTAACTCAAACTATTGTCTATATGAGTTGACAACCGTCTAATATCACAGAAGATACGTATCTTATGTGAGACACACTAATCAAACTCAACTACTATTGATGATGATGATGATGATGATGATGATGATGATGATGATGATGATGATGATGATGATGATGATGATGATGATGATGATGATGATGATGATGATGATGATGATGATGATGATGATGATGATGATGATGATGATGATGATGATGATGATGATGATGATGATGATGATGATGATGATGATGATGATGATGATGATGATGATGATGATGATGATGATGATGATGATGATGATGATGATGATGATACAAGAGACAAATTCCTATTAAACTAAACTACAACCTTTTTCACTTAATAGTTTGTTCCATTGAACAGAAACAACACAAACAACATTATTCACTATGAAAACATTTTCAAGTTATACAACAACAACAACAACAACAACAGCAACAACAACAACCAAGAACATGAAATAGATTGAATCGAAAACATAAACAACAAAAATATCGAATTAACAAAATAGAAAAAGAAAAGAGACAGTGAAATTCAATGAGAAATGATTGAACATTTCTGTTTCCTGAAACAAAACTCTTTCCTTTCTTCTTTTTTTGTTTTAATATTTCTGCTTTACACAATAACAATAACGCATTGAAACAAACAAACAAAACAATTACAATGATGATAATGATAATAATAATAATCATAGTAATAGTAATAGTAATCTCAGTAATCAATTCATTGAATAGTAAACAATTACTCTTATTATTAAAACAAAGAGTCAACTAGAAGTTGTGAATAATTGAATGTTGAACACCTTAAAGTATTAATTAATCAATAATAATAATAATAATAATAATAATGATATATACTACTAATACTGATACTACTTATACTAATATCCGTAATTGTTTATGTATATTAATAAGCCTAAATAATTTTCGTTAGAATAGTCAAAAGATTAATGCAATGACTTTTTTATTCTAAATTCAATTATCAATAATGTACAATTGAACATTCAGGTAAATAATTACAAATATGAATTTCATTTATATTAATATTATTATGATTCATGAATTCAATTATTGAATTTACTAATAAGATCTATAAAAACCCCTCTTTGATAATAATCATAAGATGCACATTAGTGATTGGCTTCAGGAGTTATTTCCTGATGTTCTAGTGAGAAACAGTGACTAGTGAAGTTCAACCGAGCCTGTTGTTAGATAGTAACTGACTGATGACAATGGTGGGTGGGTCGCTCAATATCGTGGGTTACTTGATGTTAGATAGTAACACCGTTGGATGTCGGCCAGCTCAATAATGTAGAGGTTAGGCGTTCGCGTGCGAGACTGATAGATTCTGTGTTGTCATCTCTCGAAATGGGATCATGGATGCGCACTGTCATTGGGGAGTCCCATAATAGGACAAAGCCCCTGTTCAGTGCTTCTCGGTTCTCAGTTGTAGTCTAACATCATTCGGTTCATGATCTGAATCGAATACCTAATATTCAATCAAGTATTCAACCCGTTAGTCTCATATCATTAACTTTATACTACTACTACTACTACTACTAGCACTAATACTACTATTACTACTACTACTACTACCACTACTACAACCACTACTACTACTACTACTACTACCAATACTAATAGTAATACTACTACTACTTCTACTACTACCACTACCACTACTACTACTACTACTAATACTACTACCACTACTACAACCACTACTACTACTACTACTACCAATACTAATAGTAATACTACTACTACTTCTACTACTACTACTACTACTACTACTACTACTACTACTACTACTACTAGCACTAATACTACTATTACTATTACTACTACTACTACTACTACCACTACTACTACTACTACTACCAATACTAATAGTAATACTACTACTACTTCTACTACTACCACTACTACTACTACTACTACTACTACTACTACTACTACCACGGTAGTGTTCAGTCCATAACATACTGGACTTCAATTAATTGACAACCTTAAATGACCGTAATTCGTAGTATATGAGTAAATCATTTGTCTATACACAGATTTATTTCACAGCTATTGAGCAATTACTAATAAAAATAGATTGAACAGAATTAGTTTGATACTTGTTAAACGCTTTTAGTAGTTATTCCTCTTCATAATTCCTTTTCTAACTGTTGCTTATTGAACATAATAGATAACAGAACAATATTACCTTCAACCAGATTTGCATTAGGCTTTATTCTAATATAAATGAATCTTAATATGAAATTATTAAACTGGTTAAGGCAAATCATGAATCAACAATTATAATGAAATAGACACGTAATCGGTAAAAGGCATAAATAGATAGTAACAAGATGGGTATACTAATAATAAGGATGAGAATAACAAAATGATGTAAGCTATAATCAATAGTTTGGCACAGGAAGTAGGTCAAACTTCAATAAATAAACAATAAACTATTCACTGGGCAATAATTAAAATTATTTCAATGGTTGATATCATGAGTAAATTGAATCTAGACCATTATGGAAAACCTTAAAGCAATGGATAACCGTTTCGTCCCATCGTTGGATTCCTCAGTGGCAGTGAGCATCCATGATACCGTCTCGCCAGATTCGAATATAGGACCTATCAGTGTCGCGCACGAACACTCAACATCGAGACCACTAAGGTGATATCCAACACTAATAATATCTAAATTCAACTGATCCACGAGATTGAGAGACACATCCATCACTGTCACCACTCAGTTACTATCTCACAACAGACCCTGTTGAACTCCACTGGTCACTGCTTCTCATTAGAACTCCAGAAAATACCTCTTGGATCCAATCACTAGTGAGCATATGTTGATTAATATGAGGAGGAGTTTTTGTAGATATTCTAGTAATTTCAATAGTTCAGATCATGAGTCAATTGAAGCTAGACCACGAAGGAAAACTTGGAAGCACTGGACGGTCATTTCGTTCTACTGTGAGGCTCCTCGATGGCAGTACACACTCACGATCCCGTCTCGCGAGATTCAAACTCAGGACCTATCAGTCTGGCGCGCAAACGCTTAATCCCGACACCACTGAGCCGATCGGCATCCGACGGTGTTAATGTCTAACGTCAACTAAATGTGAAGAACGACGACTAAATATAGATTGGGAAAATCGGTGTAATCATCCAACCTAGAAAGGGATAAGATTATCACAAAGCAATAAGAAAGGTGATGAAATTGAACCCTCTTCAGAACTGTTGAAAGGAAATCTATCTTTTCACTATCAATTTCCACTTTTTATTGTGATCTTTGTATTATAAACTGTTTTGATTGGTTTAATCATTTTTAATAAAATATATATTAGATTAAAGTCTGATAACAGTCTAATTGAAAGCACTATTGTTCACTTATATATGTTGTTTTGATTACTATAATGTATGTGGGAAACTTAAGACTAGCATCCATGTTAGTCAGAATGATATTAGATCAAACTACTACACCACACTCATCAATGAATACTTATAGCGAAAGAACTTCATAATTAAAAAGAGTGATTTAATCTGATCACTGAATATCAAATGTTATGTAACTATGTGCATATGAAATAATGTCAGATGGTTACAGAAGTCACCTCCAATAATGCCGCATGCGAAGAAATTAATGTGAAACAACAAATATCAATTATGTAGAAGAATAATTAGAGTTTGACTCGCATATAAGCAAATAATAAAACAATCCTTATCAATGACAGGATGAAAAGCGAATATCCGACGCTTTAACCGGGGTGGTGGACACGGAAAGACCACCTAAGGGAGTTGGAACACCCTCATTCCAAGCCAATGATGACCATAGGCTACAGGATCTTGAAGGAACAAATCGCGTATAAACCAATCGTGATCATCGGCTACCATTGAACTGCATCTTGTGACGTTGCTCCACTGCCTTGTGGATCAGACCTTCATGTCGATATCTCCGGGAGTAGCCCTCTCTAAGATAACTACCTGCTTCGGTTTGTGTTGTAACGTGTGGACTGCAGGTTAGATGCTCAGCGTTTTATTGATCGATTCAGTGACACGTAAAACACGTAATGAACGACCTAGAGTCCCGATTGGCCCAGCTTCGCCGTCTAGCCCAGCCAGTTTAGTCCAGAACACAAGTCACAGCCTCTGAGATATCAATCATTATATTTCAGACATACTCTGTTTATATACCAATCAACCAGACCACATCGTACCATAAAATAGAAAACAACATTTGTACAGTATTTAACAAGTGAAATAAATATCGGCCAATAGGGAATGTACATTTAAAGTCCAAGGCCATCATTAGACTTAACATGATAATTATTGGTATATCTCTCTGAACATCCTAACACCTCCCTTTTTTTGGAGATCCGGAGTTGATATCCGGATTTTAAAATTCTCCGCGTCCGTCCACCCCCGCGAAATATTGTTGAGTCTTCATATCCTGAAGTTACAATTAATTTGACTGCATTTAAAACATATGGAACAGGGAATCCAGTAAGAGTGACCAGATCGTGAGGATAAACGCCATTCAGTTCGAAGTCATCAGAGTTTGAATCTTCTGGAGCATTGTCATCGAAATTCTTGAAAATCTTATTAGTAGATAGTTGATCACTGGGATAGTCAGCGTGCGACAAAACTGCACCAGGTTCTTGACTATTATTTGATGCATGTGACATATTCTCTGGCACGAGGGGTTCTTCTTTTGAGCTGGATGCCTCACTGTCTGTACATGTTTCGGGCAGTGGGATTTGAACCCAGGACAGGGCATGTTTCTGAATTGGACATTTCTGGATCGCTGGACGGATTATGAGCTACTGCCTCGTTTGCATTACTGCTCGTCAGGGATTCATAGAGGCTTTTATTGGCACATTCATACATCCTGCAGTCATTTTCGAGTTCAGTATGCAAGTGAGAAATTACTTAATCAATTTCAGTCACATCTCCGAAACATGGAAGATCTAGCAGTCGTGTGCGTAAATTGTCCAAAATATTCAACTGGCTCTTTCTGTTGGCGGTCAAGTAGTAACTGCAATTGATCGGGAAGGATAGTCATTTTCTGAATCAGCAGGGTAATGAGAAATACTGTGATCAATTAACAACCAATGACTCCCAAGGACGCCGAGGTCTAATCTGGATACTGAATGGTCAAAATAATTACGCTGAATCTCGTCCAATTAGAGGGTTCAAAATTTTCACTACCCCGTCGCCAGTTGTAACGTGTGAGATTGCAGATTTTGATGTTAGAACATGATTGAAAACCTGAAAGCACTGGACAGCCATTTCGTCCTATTGTGGTACTCCTTAGCAGGACGAGACGGCCGTCCAGTGCTTCCAGGTTTTTTATGATGATCTAACACCAATTGATTCATG